CGTAGATGGTGCAGTAGGCTGCATAGTATTGTTCTCACATTGCAGACATTTCTTTTCCTTAGTGCATGTACACTGAGTTGTTAGATTTAGTTGTCATAATTGATATTGTGGCATGAACATTATAGTAAGATGAACGTCCGACTAACTATAGAAAATTCATACAAGAGTTTGCCATTCAGTGGTGGCTCATCATTATCTATATTGTAGAAGCATGTGCTTCAAGTGAGTTCTGTAGCATATTGGACTATTGTGATGTGTAATCAGTCAACTGGTGGCTTTCGTGTGCATAAACAAACTTGGTTGGTTTGATATGGAAGTAATCTGTGAGAGTGAGTTTACTTCAGAAATTTGTTTTTGAAACGGGCAGCATTTCACTGTAAACATCAGATACTATTTCATATTGTCTATCTATAGAGCTATCTTTCAACCTCCTTTAAGCTTGAAAAATATCCAGGATAGGCACTATATTTTTTTCATGCTGTTAGCTCTTATGATGATTCAGAATTACGATGGCACACCCTTCTTTGGCCACCAGAGTGAGACTTACAAGGATAATTAATAAATTGATATTTTGGGGTTATTGTATTATGTTTTCTACTGCTTTTGAAGCTTTTTGTAGCAAGAGAAGTGAGAAGTTTATTTTTAGCTGAAAGGCAAATACACCACAGTCTTCAAGAGTAGACATTACTTAAACAAAAGGGCAGTTAGCGTACATAAATACAGCGAGCAGACTTGTTCGCTGAAAGTATTTTTTTTATGCTTGTGCATGCAAATCAGCTTTGAGAATCTTGCCATGTGTGATGATTATGGTGTTTTTAATGGCTCCTAATTGTTCACTTTTTTTTTTCGTCACATTTTTTTTTTTTTGTAGCCAGCTGGTAATAATGTTGCTGCATAGATATTTTGGTGTAAGGTATTTGGAAAATGTAGCTGGCTAAGCATCGAAGGTGGCACTAAATGTAATGTTGCTGATTTTCAAACAGCTGTACGAGATTGGAAAACTTAAGGTGAGCTAATATAGTGATCATTTCTACGTGAATTCATATAGTGTGCATTCTTTTGTGGGAGCCACTTTCTTCAAATTGAAATTGGAGCTTTCGAGGTGTGACTCGTATGTCTGTATGAATATATAAAAAGTGCACAGTCTTGAAAAACTTTTGGTTCCTGCCCGATGTAGGCTTTGTTTACTGCCTCATTTTGTGGAACTAGCATGGAACCATAGAATTTCCAGCTAGTTCTTGTGAAACCTGTGCTGTTACCAAGATTTAGCCATTCTTCAATGCTGATGTATGAGGCGTTTTGCTGTTACTGTAGTGAGCAGCAAAAAACGGAACTGAAATGGAGAAAAAAACAACACAGGTGTTAAACAACTGTGTGCAAGTTTAATCCTATGAAAATTATATAAGGAAAACGAGCTAAGAAGAAGCAAAAAGAAAAAAAAAAAACATGAACTGTCATGTGATCACAGTGATGAAATGTCCGCCATTAGTCACAATATTACAACTTGACAAAAACTTTATCTCTTTTTCCTGAAGAGTGATTGAGGGTTAGTTTAACACTCACATTTCTTTTCTTCTTGATCTGGAAATCTTCCTTGATTTCTCACTCATTCTGGTTTTGGTGCCTTGGTATGACCTCACATATGTTGAAGAAAGGAGCACAGCCACATAGGGGACAATGTGCTGTCAACGTGCAGTTAGTTTAGGACTTGATATTTACGGGCATGTTCTCCAATACTGTCGTTCAAGCAGTGCCCGGTTTGTCCCATATAGGAACGGCCACACAACAGAGGAATATCGTACACTACCTTATCTACGCATTCAATGTCATTTGTCCCGTGTTTCCTGATATATTATTTGCAATCCTTCGTTTCATCAGCGTTGACTTGCTCGCACAAGTGACCAAGTTTACGGGGAGCCTGCTTTGCTTAAGATTTTCTTTAGTGTGTGGCTTAGGTCGTGGACGTAAGGAATCAACATGGTTATCTTTTGTTGTTGTTATTCCTGTGCTGTGCGTTTCTTAGTCTTTTTTCCTGAAAAGCTCGCTCTCAGTAGATTAATTGCCAAGGCACACGGAAGTTCAATCATATATTTGGTGCATTTCAACCGCAGTTTTTGGGCTCCGCAGCTTTCTTGTAATTAATGGAAACAGGACCTCTTCAGTGCACTCCTGAGAACATTGCGCTTACGAAACTCGTGAAACACTTGAGTTTCACCGAAATTGGCTTGAGCGCAAGATTGAGGCTTTTCAGATCAGGATGAAAGAAAACACTTCTGTCAGTGAACCCTCAATCAAGTTCTTCAAAAAAGAAAAAAATTTTGTCAAGTTACATTGTTATATCCTGACTTGTGAACATTCATTTTTTCACTGTCACCTTGTGACAGTCAATATTTTTTGTTTCTTTTTGCTTCTTTTTAAATCTCACTTTCAGAATATATTTTACATCCTAATAAACTAGTGCATAGTTGTTCATCAATGGTTGTGTTGTCTTTTCCTCCATTTCAGTTCTGTTTTCGCACTGTTCACTGCAGTATCATGTACCAACTGGCCCTTTAGAGCACCCTTGTTTTTTTTCCTTTCAAAAAGATCGTTTTATGCAGAACAGAAACCAACTGCTTCAAGCAGTAGGTTATAACACAAGTTCTTCATTTTGTATTTATGGTGAACTCTCATTTTGTGTACATACATTATGTGCAGTTGCATGTGTGTTGTGCTTTAGAACGTACTGTCTATATATAATTGCATACGCATTTTGCACAAGCTTATGCACACAGTTCAATGGTACAAGACATATTAGGTGGTAAAATATAAATTGCACTGGTGCTTAATGACTGTCCCTATATGGATATTAACTTTCGTATCAGATGAGCAAGAGGCTGATGCGCCTAGGTCTAGGCATTCTGTGATGCACCATTTTACCAATGATTACATCAGTATTGCAGAAGCTTACCACCTTAATTTATTGGGGCATAAGATATGATTATACCCCTATTTATGTTAATGTGCATTTTACTGCATAACAAGTGAATGTTATCTAGTATCACATTTGTATGTTAGCACCCTCACATGTGACTTTTTTTTGCTGTGACATGGTATAATTTATTGAAAGTGTCTTCAAGGTTTTGACTGCATTCTGTCATCTTTTCAATCATTCACTTTAAAGAGAAATAATTTCTCACTGAGTTCACTGTTGTTGTCATATCCATTGATAGTTCAGAGCACGTGTCTCAGTTCTTGTGTTCTCAAATGATTTACTATGAGCATGTCACTGTTTTAAAGCTTTGAGCTGCCATGTGTTTTGATTTCCCATAGTAATAAAGCAATGGCCACCAGTTGCTTGCTTGGCTGGCTGTAATACTGCAGCAATGTCACTATAATTCCTTATGTGGCCTTTACATGTGCAGCTGAAGCAAGTGTATTGCATCTCAAGGCCCATATTTTTTTTGCTGCATTTGATCCAATGCCCTTTACAGTTGATACAGTATGTCAATATTGCTCTGTTCAAAGGGGAAGCTGTGTTTAAAAGACTTATCGTATGGATGTTGTGCACTAAAAAAGCAAACAAAAAAAAACATACTGAACAGGAATATACGGTATTTACTCGCATAATCCTCACACTTTTTTTTTTTTTTTTGCCGGAAAACCGATGCAAAGTTGGGGGGTGCGAGAATTACGTGGGGAAAACTTTCCACAAAAACGTAGAGAGCGAAAAAGAAAAAGAAAGAGGCAGCAAATCGGGATTTTCACACCAGCAACTTGCAGCAAGCTTTAAGAAGTACTAATTAGAACTTACCTCAACAATGAAAGCAGAGGTTCAACACAAGACAAGATTTATTTGAGAAACAAAAAGTGGAAGCAAATAGTCGAGAATTAGAATATCACACGCAAAGCTTGTGGGCTTTGCAGGCGTAGCGGCTACGTTCGTTGCTCGACAGGAGCCCTCAAAAGGTAAGCGTAGGACGTCAGTATTGGGCTGATGGCTATTTAACAGAATCGTCCGCAGTTTCCTTCTGAAGAAATAAAGTTTATCATCAATCCCAGTTTTAGGCACACGGCAGGCCCAACGCGTCTGGGTGGCTTTCAGCTGCCGTCACCGATAGCGAACACAAAACTCTTAGGCTCCGAAGGGCCTACCGGCGGCCCTGTTGCCGTTGTTTAGTGCATGATCCATCACTTGCAACTTGAAGCAGCCGTGTAGCTTCAGTATCGCCCCATAACGTGCCAAGATTACCGACACAACAAACAAAACGCGCCGCAACAAGCACTGGCCACTTTGGCTTGGCTTAGATTGGATTGAATCTCCGTGCAATAGTACGCTTGATGCTTAAGAGATGGCGCACGCTATCATCATCAGCGGCTGGAACGAGCAGATGACATTATTCCGGCAGTTTTCGGGGGTGCGATAATTACTCGAGGAAAAAAAAAAATCGTACTTTTCTTGGGCGATGTGGGGGGTGCGAGAATTATGCGAGTGGGAGGATTACGTCAGTAAATACGGTAACAACAGCATCGCTGTGAGCAGCATATATGTTACTAAAGTTTATGCCCAAAGGTTATTTACCATTTTTAAAATTGTTATGCTGTGTTGAGCACATGGACTGTTTGTGAAAGTAAAATAGCTGAAGCGGGCATTGGGGGGACAAAACATTTCACAGTGAGAATTCTATTATCATTGTATGCACTTAAGTTGATGTGCTTCATGCTAGCCCAATCAGCACTGATTGCATAGCTCTCCCTTCAAGAAGCAAAGCATAGCTCTCCCTTCAAGAAGGGAGAGCTATGCTTTTGCGTGAGCTGAGGTTGATGAGGTTTTTGACTTTGAAGTTCATGTACAAGAATGAGTAGAAATTAGGAGCATATAAGTTTAATTATGCATCACTATCTAGATGTGGTAGTCCACACTTTCATATGTGCAGAATGCTGGATGTCACTTTCTTTGTGTTCTTATTTCATTTGCTGTTGCTTAAAACATAATGAGCTGTAGGCTTCTGCATGTGTAGGTTGACAAAGAAAATGACTTCTATGGGGCAAGTGCGCCTCCAACTTCTCGGGGCATGAGTCCTCCTTATGTGCGGCCTTCAATGCCACCACCTTCTTCTCACCACCTTTCCAGAGGTGGGCGGAAAAGTGATAGCCGCAGGGATGATTTCTATGGGTGAGTTCAATCGTCTTATGCAAGTTTACTCGCTTGTATTACTGGCTTGAAACATGTAAAGTTCTCTATGTGCAACTTTATAAACTTATTTGTAATGCCATGAGCCCTTTTTTTATCATTACGAAATGCCTGGATTCATTTTATAATCCTTATAATAATTCTACCATAATAATAACAAAATAAACCTTAAGATGCACCATAAAAGTCTAACAAGGCATGTTAGCTTGTTATTTATAGTTACTGCAGGTTGTTTTAGCATACAGAAAGAGTTGAGAGGAGCAGGAGGAATAATTTTATTTGATGGATATGGTCAGGTCTGGGTGGGGCCCTTCAGTCTAGACTGACTTGCTGAGCTTGATCTGTAGGGCCAGTTGGCTCTCACTGACCTCACTTGCAAGCAGTGCCTCCCACTGCCGTGCAGAGTTTGTGTCTCTCAGAAAAGGTCACTTGACATTGTGTGATTCTTGACATTGTGTGATTCGGCGTCTCTCATAATCAAATAGTGGTTTTGGGACGTTAAACCCCACAAATCAATCAATCAACATTGTGTGATTCGACCTTACATTCCCACATTATATGGGCCAGCCTGGGTTCTGCATCGTACCATAGGCAGGTGTCTGTGTACCGTTTTGAGTGTACCTTGCAGTGATAAAAATGCTGCTCCAGTTGCTCCAAACTGCTGCAAAAAAATGCTTCATGCTGTTCCAAATGGTAATTTTTGTTAGTAAAGTTCTCCAAACCTGCTCCGAAATGACACTGGGAGAATGAGAATGACTAAATTTTACTGTCTGATCGACTTGGTAAGTCCTAAAGAAACTGAAAAGAATCTGTGTACTATCATCCCAGTGTGCTACTAGTGTGCAGCATTATCAGCTTTGATCTCATTTATACAAGAACTGGCATATTAAGCATGTAGCTCATTTGGCTGCGTTATTTTTTCTCTCAATCAGATGTGCAGGCTAGTGTGGTGAAATGTGAATATGAGCAGGATTTATTTTATCTTATAGTGATTACCTACTGCTTATTTGGCAACAGTTATTATATATGGAACTGTAGTTACTTATAAAATGTGGTGCTCAACTTTTCCGGTATTGATTTCTGCCACAAAATACTAGTATTTTAAATTATAGCTCATTTTACAGCACATTTTTGACAACCTGCCATTGTTTGCTTCATGCAATTTACATTGATTATTGACTGTTAAGTATATTTCAAAATAAATATATTTGAGATGCTTCGATAACCCTCTGAACTCCAGTTAATGTATGGCAAATTTAGTATCTGCTCCTAAAACATCAATAGCTGCTCCAGAATAGTTTTTTTTTTTTGCTCTGAAAACTCTTATGTCTGCTCCAAAGCAGTACTTTTTCTGCTCCAAAGTATGCTCCAAAAAAGTAAAAACTCACTTCTATCACTGACCTTGTTTGAAAGATTCGAGGGTAGGAATGAGTAAGTTATGCCAGTCCAGGACTTTTCTTCTGTTTAGTTTGTAGGGCCATGTCTGCCATGCACATTTGGTGAAAGTTCCTTTAGGGTTCTGCACGCTGCTCAATTGTTGCTTCCTCGAGGGACTTGATCTGCCCTTTCATGCCCGTAACGCTGTGCACTGGGCACCGCGTAATGCCATGGTACAGGTCTAGGTGTGGGCTGAATAATTTGTTGGTTCTGCATAGTAACTTCGCAAAAGAAGCCAACGTGCACCCTACGAGGCTGTAAGTATGGGAGTTGACAGGCTCTTGAAATAATCTTTTTTGTTCAGCTAGCATTATTGTCGCAGGCTCTGCTGTGCATATCAAGATAGTCTTAACTGTGGCAGTTCTGTAGGGAGTACATTTGTTGCGATGATTGCGTAGAAGTCCCTGGAAGCAGTTTAGAGAGTGTGGGAAGGTACATATGAAAACTGTGGGGCTGCTTATTCTAAAGAAGGCTGTTTCCATTGTTCTACAGAATAGTCAAACATAAATATATATCAGACAAGACAGGATTGTGGTACAGTTTGTTATAAAGCTATCGTATTCACTCGCATAATTTGCGCACTTTTTTCGCGAGCCCATACAAAATATTGTGTCACAGTTCGAACGCGCACAGTGCATACATTAGAAAAAAGAAGAAATGAAGTGGAGCACAAACGAAGTGTACTTGTTAATATTGAAAGAATTAGCATGTACTTTAAACAGTCAGAGCCGGTCGCGCAAGTTTTATCGGGAATCGCTGATCGCAAAGTCTGATTGGGAATCATCGTTGCAACTGCTGCCGCCGTCCTCCCGAAGTGCATCGTCCTTGGTTCCGTCGAGCGCGTTCGAACGCCCCATTTTCTTGAAGCTCTTTCGACAATGCTGGGAGAAACTAGGTCCAACAACACGGCGATACCGGAAGAACTAAGCATCCGCACATAATTGAAAAGGCCTTCTTAAATGGCAGGAAATTAGCAAGCACAGCATTCATAAGTTTTCTCGTGTACTAATCGCGTCGGTCGTCACGTTGAAGTACGTCCCATCGAAGTACTTTGTGGCGACACGCTTCCAGTTTTCTTCAGCGAAATTTACGACAGCGAGCTTCTATTTCGCCCTATACATAATTACTGTAGCACTTCGCAAGGGAAGCATCAAAACGCGTTGGTTGGATGGCGAAACCTACACTTCCGAAATCAACCAAGCGTGCGTTACAGCGCGGACGCAGAGAACGAGGGGAACAGTTGTCGTGGCAGTCCCTTGTACGCCTCTGATGGAGAAATAGTACGTCCACGCGGTGGTAGAGATTTGGAAGTATGCCTCCCGGAGGCAAACGCTAGAGCAGTTCCGGCGACTCGTCAACAGGTTTGTGTTCGGGTGCGGTATTCTAGTGACCCTAGTTCAGGGGGAAATGCTCCGAAAGAGGGGCTTGGCACTCGCAGCCTGTTTGACTGCGCTCGTCTGCTCAGGGAGGCATGCACCCGGCCAAAGCATCAAAGGTCCAAAGGTGTGCATGCCGGCGAGATGGCTCGTGCGGTTGGGGAACTCGAAATATGCGAGTGAATATTTTTTTCCAAAAAGCTGGCAAAATATTACGGGTGCGAAAATTATGTGAGGGTGCAAAGTATGCGCGTAAATACGGTAAACCTTCAATAATTAACTTCAGTGTGACTAAATTTTTGATATAATGAAGTATTTAACCTCTCGTAACTTTCGGCCCATTGAACACCTTTTGTAGTTGACCTCAATATATACCGTATTTACTCGCATGATGTGCGCCCTTGCATAATTTGCTCATCCCCTAATATTTTGCCAGCTCTACGAGAAAAAAAAAATTACTCGTGTATTTTACACTCCCCGACCCACCCAAGCCGGCTCTGCTCACCGACGTGCGTACGAAAAGACTTTTATTTGCTAATGCCTTGAACTGGCGTGCGCCTCGCCGAACAGGTGAATGCAATAAAAGGGGCTGCGAGTGTGAAGACCCTTATTGCGAGGACTTGCCCGAAACTAGGGTCTCTAGATCACCGTACCCACTGAAACTACTCGAGCGTTTGCCTCTCTCACCCTATCTCTATGATCTGTACTTGTAGAACGTACGCTGGCGTCACGGCATGGACAACTTTCTGCATTGGAGTCGTGGAAGCGCCTGTGCGTCAACTGTTCCACTCTTTCTCTGCGTCCGCGTTGCAGCGCAGGCTTGTTTGATTTCGTAAATTTGGGTTTCGCATCTGTTCGTCGCATTTTACTATTCTCTTGCGATGGCCTATGTTAATTATATATATACTGCAAAATTCAAGCTCAGTGTTGTGAAGTTTGCCGAAGAAAACTGGAACCGTGCCGCCACAGAGGCTTCAGCGTTAAACTTCAACGTTACGATCGGCTAGATCGGTACGAGAGGAAGCAGAGTGCGCGCTTGCTAATACAAGTTTTCTGCGGTTGAAGAAGGCCTTTTAAATTATATGCGACTGTTTAGGTCCTTAGGTATCGCCATGTCATGGGACCTAGTTGTGCCCAGCACTGTCGAGATCAATAAAGTGGGGCATTTGAACGCAATCGACAAAACAGAGGAGGATGCGCTTCGGAAGGGTGGTGATAACGGCCACCACGATATTTCTCAATCGAAACTTCAGTGATTCCGACTAGGCCGCCCGTGACGGGATCTGACTATTTAAAGTACGTGCTGATTCTGTTTAACGTAATAAACAAGTACATTTTGTTTGTGCTTCAATTTATTATTTTTAGTGTATATGTATATGCTGCGCGCATTAAGACTATTGCACATTTTATCGCATAAATTCGCGAAATTCCCACCTACTTTGCGCACCCCCTTGTGAGAGACCCAAAATAGCAAAAAAAAGTGTGCAAATTTTGCACGTATATATGCTAATCAACTGTGTTATCTTAAAATTAAAGGAGCCCTGTAACGCAGTTGTGCCAATTTGATACAACCAATTTCGTACCAAGGTGAGCGAAAAACTATGAAATTTGCAGTAATTGCGCCACACTGTGCCAAAATACCTGACCAGCCTCAAAGCTATCTCAGTTGCGCTAATTTCAACGAGAAATGAAGGCCGTTTTGTCTACCTGCAGTTTGCGTCATCGATAAGTCCAATCCAAGCATGCAGACTCTTAACTATAGTGTAAAATATGTACTCATTAGGTGAGGACACTTGCAAGACGTGAGCGATCTCGTAAAGCAACAACGTCACGTGCCCTTCAGTCCAATGACCACAGGGAATACCTATCGACGGGACGACACAACTTCAGGACAAAAATGTGTTGCTGTGGCCGCCAGTGCTTCGCAGTAAATTTGAATTTTCTAGTCTGCAAACACTGCTAAGGCATGTTAGCTACTAAAGCTGGAGGCGTATAGCATCTTTTCTGTGCACGAACTAAGTCGACGTGCTGTACATAAAACATAGAAATGGCACATAAAATATTTTTCTGTCTTCATGTCGCATTGTCCTGCAGATAAATATCTGGTGCTGTAGCCTGGCCAATGAGTGTGCGAGCAGAGTTGTGCCCTGAACCTCACCGAACTAAAAAGAAAGAAAAAAATGAACGGGTGGGGGGTAGCGTTTATTTCATCTTGTGCGAAATGCTGTTTAAGCTACTTTCTCCACAGGATATCAGTGCACTGCTAAAAAGCTTATTGAAGTTTAGAAGGAACTGTTTGCACTTGTCACGAAAGACAGCCCATTTTGATACCCTTGCGTGTATGCGGCACATAAATGTGAGTGCTGTTATGATCGCTGACGTCAAAAAAGTTACTGGCAATCATTTGGAGGAGTGTGTGAGATTTATGCAGCCCTAGAAAATGAACAAAACTGTGTGCAAGTTTCCCCCCTCCCTCCTTGTGTCTCCTACTCGTCACAGTTTTAAGAATTTCCCGAATTTCAAGGTTGCCAGCTTGTCTAATCTGCATTTGAATTCCCAGAGTCTGTCGGAAGATTTGACAGGCGCAACAAATGCTGATGTGGGCTGGTTATCGTTTACACAGTGGGGTGGTTCAAAATACTGCTTTTGTTAAAATAGTCGTGCTTATGTCAACCCTGCACGATTTAGGTGATATTGAATGATTGGTACATATTTTTGTTTTATTTTCTTAATGTAAGCCTTCTTTTTTGTACTGCTCCAAGTTTGGATTTTAGTGCTCCAAAAGTAACACTTTGCTGCTCCAAAAATTGCTCCAAATTCAATTTCGGCTGTTGTGCCCCTGTATTGTCAGGAAACAATGCTGATCGGTAGTCGAGGCTTTCTAGAACAGCGAGCCACACATTATAGCATTGCAAGCGGTCTGAAATGTACAATTAATTCACTAATTCAGCTGAAAATTGCTTCCTCTTTTTAGTGCAAATAATGCCGCATACCCAAATTACTGTGCCATATACTCAAAGTTCATAGCTGTTGGTTGATTTGAGCATCGTGAGCTGCATAGTTAATGTGGCTGCTGCGCGATGCTGCCACATGCCTGTGCACATGTTTGCGTTCACACTGAATGTGAGCCTTGCGTTCCAAGAAATTATGACAGAAAAGACCAAGGTTATCACGCACGCTGGCAGGACGCATCTTCTTGCTTCCTTTTCATCCCCCTCCCTGCATAACTTTCAGCACGCTCACTAGTTTGAGAGGAGATAGAAAGTGCTTGAAGTGTGCATTGTTATAAAATTATAGAGAAGGTGCTTAAACTTCTATTGGTGCCAGTGGTGGTGTGGTAAAATTGCACCTGGTTTTTGCCTGCGCCTTTTTCTGTTCACTGTAACAAGTCTTGCTTGATTCTTGGTAGGCATAAATGCATGATGTAGCCAAACAGAAAATGGGGCCACCATGAACAGAGGTGCTGGTAATTTAAGTTGTCATTTATTTTCATTCAATTTGAGGCCCAAGCTCTCGTTGTTTTCGTGGTATGCAGTGATGTTGTGTATTCATTGGACGCAGTAAATACACAGGTGGTTTGCCGATTTGGTCAAACCGAATGTTTAATGATAAATGATAAATCATGGAGGCTGAATTTGCATGATAACATCATCTAACACTTTGATGCTTTGGCCAAAACTGCATTTTTTTTTCGGCTTAACGTGTGGCATATTGTGTATTCATTTGACGCAGTAAAGACATAGTTGGTTCATTGTTCTGGTCAAACCGAATATTTTAATCACAAATGATAAACTATAGAGGCTGAATTTGCATGATAACATCGTCTAACACTTCGATGCTTTGGCCAAAACTGCAGTTTTTTTTTTTTTTGGCTTAACGTGTGGCATATGTATAGCTGTTGTGAAGAAATTTCGCTGCAATTCATCATCACCCAATGTCAGGTTCACGTTTATTTTGTTTTATGTGTTATTAATGCTACAGTTCTGCAATTTATGCTACAGTTGGGTTCGTGTTTAGGCTGGCTGGTTCATGATTTCCAGCAGAAAACAGAGCTAATGGACAAAATAAAGCAAGAATACAAACCACGGCACTGTCTAATGATAAAATCTAGCTGCGACGGCTGCATTTTCGTTGGAGGTGGAAATGTTGTAGGCCCGTGTGCTCAGATTTGGGTGTACGTTAATCTGCATTTAGACGACGGACCGAATCCGGATGTGGCCGGATGGACGGCGCGTCACGTGACCTCACATCAGCGATTGCTCTCGTCCGCGATTCATCCGCGCGGCTCGTGGACGGATTACCCCAACCTGTTTTTCACGTCGGGATTCTGGTGGGAGAAAGCCAATACTTCAGCGGATTAGCTCAGGGTTTCTGGCAACCAGTACACTCTTCGTCCGCTCGCGGCATCTCCTCCACGGCTCGCGGACAGCTGCATGACTGGTCGGCATCATCTACGCTTGAGCATGGTTTACTTAGTTTCCGGGGGCTTTGTTCTCGGGGGATTAAATACACAGAACTCACTTTTGGTGTTTCGGGAAATGTCGCCGCCATCGTTTGACACGCGAGATTCTTAGCTGTCATGGTGGTGAAATATTCTAACTTCTGCAACTGGCGATGCCGCTTCTAAAAAAGGATGGGAGACGCGTTCAGAAGTTCTACAAGGGGGGAACAATGTAGTTGAAAGAACATTCTGCCAGCAACTCCCTTTTCTTCTGAAGGAATAACACTCCTCGTTCATTTGTCACAACACGACAGACATCGCAGCCAAGCGTCGCTTCTTGCGGGCATCCATGTTGAATACTCTCTAACTGGTCTGCCGCCAGCCGGTGCAGGTGAGCGCCGAATCTGCTGTCAAGGGTAATCTGGCTGTTTTATCCTAGGACACCGTCCGTCGTGTGGATGCGTCTGCAGGCGGATCATCCGCGGATTAGCTGTCGGCGTCCACGACAAATCCGGATTCGGTCCGTCATCTGAATGCACCATAAAGAACCCCAGGTGGTTGAAATTTCCGGAGCCCTCCACTGCAGCTTCTCTCATAATCATATGGTGGTTTTTGGACGTTAAACCCCACATATCAATCAATCAATTAAGTCTAATGATAAAATGTGTTTTGTTCTCCCAGTCCCGTAAATCTGTACTCCATCGCAATCTAAAAAAAAAACATGTGCAGAGGCAATGAGAATGCTGAATGAGGTAGAATTGTTAACTCCTTCGAAAGGAGGCAATCTAGGAGAGGCCTACACATGCCTTGCCACTGTTGTAGATATATATTGAGTTTTGATTGCCTTTATGCTGGCTGATCATCTCTCTACTGTTTTGTTTCATTGACATTGTGGTGTAGTATATATATATGCAGACTAAAAATAAAAAAATAAAGCACATTTGGTTGTTAGTACCGGGGTTTGTATAATTTCTTCATCCCATCTTTTAGATATTCAGTTTTGATTGTCTTTATGCTGGCTGATCATCTTTTTACTTTTTTGTTTCATTGACATAGTAGTGTAGTATATATATGGAGACTGAAAAAATAAAACACGTTTTGTTGTTAGTACCGAGGTTTGTATTTTTTTTTCATCCCATCTTTTAGCGCTGTTTTCTACTGGAAATTATTTATGCAAGTTTTTTCGTACTGCCCAATTAGAATATTCTTGGGGCCCTTCCTGCATTTAAAAAAAATTTTTGCAGACCATACTCATTATAATAGGTCAAATTTTAATTCGAGAGGTTTCAACTCATTTTAAGATTGTTGGAAATCAACTTCATGACAGTATACTTATATTTAATCCAGCTTCGATGAGCCAGACCCTCTTGAGCATTCTGAGCGAGAGTCCAGAGATAATTGGCATGGTGGACGCTACGATAACTTTGAAGTGCGCTGGAGCAATCGGCAGGAGTATGACCACAGGGTGAGTACTGTTTTATAGTGTTATGATCCTTGAATTGTGGTTTATAATCATAAGAAAAAAAAACTAAAGCAGCTTTATCGCAGCTTGGCGCTTTAAACCATTCCTCTCTTTTTTTTTTCGACTGTAACAAGCTGCTCCAAACTGTGTCCTTTTGGCCAATGGTCGTTAACTCTTTCCTGTCCGTGCCTTTGCCTATGAATAGCCTGTCACTGATGATATCTTATTTAAATTTGACAGGATTGAAGTGTGCAGTGGCAACTAGCGTCATGCACTGCTTCAACAAGATGCTACTGTTTTTCCGCCAACCTTGGTTTTTCAAAATGCAGCCGTAGTTCTCAACATGGTGTCGATATTGCACACAGTGAGTTCATCTAGCCTTCGCATTTATACGGCATCTCTTTCATCTGCATATGAAATTTTCAATGCTGACAGCATTAGTAACCCACAAGGCAACTTTAGTTTGCCAGATTTTAGTAACACAGATGGCAAAGATGTCAAACCTGCACAGAACATAAACAGGTACTCGGCTTGGCCTGAGTTGGCCTTGTACCAGTAAACCCAATATAACTAAATATAACTAACTCTGCTGCAAGTGTAGTTTTCTTCCCAGGATTGTTTCACTGCTGCCTTGTAGTCATCTCTAGATCTTTTGTGTGTTGTAAAGTTCAAAATTTTTATCTGCCTCCTTTTGAAATCACTTGCCGGCTACCACATGGTTAACTTTTACCATATGGTTACCACATGGTTAATCCAAACTTGCAACGAGCGCTTTAAAAGGCGTCGGCTTGGCCTGAGTTGCCCTTGCACCAGTAAACCCAATATAACTAAATATAACTAACTCTGCTGCAAGTGTAGTTTTTTTCCCCAGGATTGTTTCACTGCTGCCTTGTAGTCATCTCTAGATCTTTTGTGTGTTGTGAAGTTCAAAATTTTTATCTGCCTCCTTTTGAAATCACTTGCCGGCTACCACATGGTTAACTTTTACCATATGGTTACCACATGGTTAATCCAAACTTGCAACGAGCGCTTTAAGAGGCGTCGCTGCAGGCCGGCTCTGGGCTACACCAGCTTTTAGGCTTAGCTTTATGTTCGATTGGTGTTTTGGTCGATGGCTGTTCCGCTCTGTGACTTCGTTTTCTTTCTTTTATTCTTTCTGTGCAATGTAACCGGCCTCTGTATGTTTGGCGGCTCGTTTGTGTGGACACTTAATTTTTTTGTTACCTGTGCTGCGCGGTGCTAGTGCTTTACGTGAGCCGCAGCGTGGGCGGCAACAGCAATTCGATGTATTATCGAGAGTTCTACATCGACTGTGATGACCTACAATATTGAAAAAATAGAACTGGCCATCATGTGCTGTATTAATAACACATTGTTGCTCATGTAGAGAGGTGGTATCAGTACCATTCGCTTATCCCTTAGTTTCATATGCACGCGCTTTACGAGATAGTCGGTGTGGCGAGGTTTCTTGGCAGGGTTCCGCACGAGGTGGCCGCGAACAGTGGTAGCACACTTTTGTTGTCTGTTAAAAGCTCTGTGCGCTATCACGTCAGGCTTTTCTTTAAGCGTAGGACCACTGTTACGTAAAAAAGGTTCTTGTGCAAACAAAATTTTTGAATTTCTTTTTGAGTGTGATGTGTTTTTTCTTTTTAATTGTTTTAGGGGAACCTAGTTTTCAATAAAACTTCTTTTTCTTTTGAAATATTATTTCACATTTTTGTTACGAGAGCTAGATAGGTCACATGGTATGTAAAAATGTAGCGCAGTTCATACCTGGCGATAATCTCTGTAAAAACTTCCTTGAAAATCTGTTTCACAGTTATGTGTATTGATAGAAGTGCTGCTCCAATTGCTCCAAATTGCTCCAAAAGAGAAATGCTGCTCCATGCTGCTCTAGAGTGCAATATTTGCTAGTAACTGCTCCAAACCTGCTCTGGAAGGATGTCGGCAAACTAAAAAGAATGAAGTTGAACCATTGGACCATCCCGTGAGTATAAGCGAAACGAAAAGCAAGCTGTATGCGCTATCATGCTAGTATGCTACTCAATGGTGTAAATTCAGAAAAAATCTCAAGGGGTGACACATATCAGGCCATGGTGTCCAATTCGTATTTTAATATGGGATGTATTTTTATTTACATAAGAATTAGGTCATGCTTTCAAATAAAATGTAAAAAAAGGAGCATGGGGTCCAAGCTTCTATTCAGCTTCTTTTTTTTTTTTTCACCTTTTTTCGATTTTCATAGTTCACACAGCTGAGGGGCATTTAACACAAATACGCATCAAAAGATAAAAAGCCTTTTAAAAAGTTTATTGCACTATATTTATCTGTTAACTCAATTTTATCACATGCTAAAACTTAATCTCAAGTGGGACACTTGCAAGAGGTGTCCTCCCCAGCCTAGACACCAGAAAAATCCATTTTCTCTTGCCCCCCCCCCCCCCTCACCCCCCTTTTCCATGATTTATGCCAACTATAGTGCTTGTATACTAGCTGCATACTAGCATACAGCATGTTTAGTAACAAGTATAAATATTTATTAGATGCTTAAGGGGGCAGACTGTTCTTAGACATTTTTGTTTATTTCTTTAGTGATATTGATCAAACTGCACAGGATTATGCAGTTTTTTCTGTTTATTTCAAATATTTAATTAGTTTTCCTACTTATCATTTTGTTCCCAAGATGACTTAAGTTCATCCCCTATTGTTTGAGGCCACCATAGAAAAAAAGTGCCTAATAGACTATACCTATAGATTGAAATTATGCAATAGTTTTTTTTGTTTTTAGGCCTTGGTTAATCTACAGCAAAATGAACTATCCATTTTCAAAAGCAGTTGGAATTGTGTTACAATTTTGATGAGTAATTAATTAAAAAGCCTTGTGCTCTAAATTCTGCTCTCATACTTGCATTTTACACACATACAGGTTTCTATTGCAAAAAGAATTATTGTTGTACTTGCCCTAGTTGCAGAGATATTGAGGCCTCAAAATTGAATAGCCGGAAATTTACTTTCTTGAGAAAAAAATCGAAAAAACTGAAACACACAGCTTCTTCAAGAAGCAACAATCATGGTGCGCACATTTTGCAGTCCTCATAAAGGTGCTCATAAATTCATAGCAGAGCGTCTAACACAGGTGTCGGCAAGTTGTAAAGAAGCCTCGAAGTCGGTTCCTCATTTTTGTGCAGGTTCTGCTTGTTGAAAGCACCAAGAATCTAGACACTTAGAATGACATTAAAAAAATTACCACTTCCTGGTGTGTGAAAATTTGCAGAGAGATAGAAAAATACTAGCAGAAACCAAATATGTAAATTTTTAAAAATGAATGTTTTTGTCACTTTTTGATCCCAAAGACCAGTCTGCCCCCTTAAGTGATGTTTTAGACTTCAGGAGTCATTAGGAACATGCATCTGCTCCGAAAATACCAATAGCAACCCTAAGCTATGGCATGTTTTCTGCTCTAAAGACACTTGAGCCTACTCCAAATCACCATTTCTTATGCTCCAGAATCTGTTCCAAAAAGCAAAATGTCACTTCCATGACTGTATGTGTATTATAAGCCAATTAAAATATGCACTGGTGCCCCCATGTTGCTAGAAATTTGTATTTTCTAGCTCCCAGGACGACATAGTAAAAGTAAATGCTGCTAACTGCTCTGAAGCAAGGTTCTCCTGCTCTCAAATTGAAGTTTTGCTGTTCCAAAAACTGCTCCCAATTTAGTCTCAGCCGTCTCACCCCTGTATAGCAAATGCCTTTAATGTTATTTCAAATCTGTTTTTTTACCGCTAACGGCATCACTCCTTCCTTTTTTGCGTGCAGAAAACTACCTGCTCTTTCTAATATTGAATTGAGCTCCTCTGAAGTGCATGACCTAATAGTAATTCTAAAGTTACAATAGATACGCTCTGGCCCAGACGGTATGCCAAATGTATTTTTAAAGTGGTACTTAATATGGTGTGCTAATTATCTTACTGTAATATTTAAAAAGTAAGTCTCTGTGAAAATTTCCCTACTGCGGAAATTGTCAAACGTCGTGACCTTAAGTCCGCAAGGAAGCAAATAGCAAATTATAAACCAATATCTTCGCTTTCTATACCAGCTCCACACTTTTGGACCATATAATCAACAAATACTATGTAGAATACCTAAACGCCCACAACCTATTTTCTCGATGGCTACCCAGTAGCTTGAATTGATGCATGACATTACACAGTTATAGTTTATGATAAACGTGATAACAGAGGTTAAGGGAATGGTGTTATCGTGCAGCAAACTTTCGTTGTGGACCGTGTCTTATACTTTAGCGGGATAGCGTATATGCACAGAACACCTATATACTACCATTGGTTTCCGTGGCTTACGTGCCCCAGCTGGGGCTGTGGCGCCACCTATCTAATGGCTAATAAGTTAAAGACAGTGAAAAGCAACAGAAAACGAGAATGTTTGCCTATGCCACCGCGTAAAGCATTGCTACAAGTTCATTTTACTAATAATAAAAGCAAATAAATATGAACCATGCACCAAACGCAAAAAAAGTTATGTTGCCAATTTCTTTACATCGATCTTGCAGTTAGGCTTTCACACGTTCGAAATGGGAAGCTATCTCGAAAACTACACCAACTTATGCGTAATACTCGGTTATCAAAGCTAACTGAAGGCAAGCAAAGCCACTTTAAACGGAACAGTTTTTTTGCGGGTCGAACCGTTCAGTTCGTTGACATCACCAAAACGTCACGGCTGCTGCATCGCTTTTTTTTTTTATAACTCGCAGTTCACTTAAAGTCGTGATAGGCTGGGGCCAGGTTAAAAAAAAAAAACTATGAAAAACTGTGATAACGGTTATACTATCATGGTTAAAGAGATGGCAAGAAGTGTCTAAGGAAGCCTTGGATATGAACATGCCTTCCTCCTGAGTGAGTGGAACAAACGTTGCCTGTCAGATCTGTCGTCATCGACGTTTTCGCGTGCTGGTGGGTGTTTGCAATTTGTTTCGCGTCGGTCTTGCGTGCACACAAACATGTGGAGCTCTTTTGGGTGGCAAAGCGGTTTATGCTTCTTGTTTTGTGAACTCTCATTGCTGTGAGATAGCCGGCCAGTGCCGTAAAGCCCCGTTTTGAGGCTTATTGTCAAATTTTGCCGTTAGCAAACGACTGCATCCGCTGCTTCCAATTTGTACAAAGAAGTGCATACGATTACATGCTGCTTATGTCAGCAAAATATGTCGGGAGGATTATTGGTGAAATGGTGCAAAAACGTTATTATGCCACTCCTTTGCTTGCCCGTCACGACATGTTATTGCGTCTATGCTGCAAAACAGTCGTGCGTGTTGGATTAGTTTGGCCTGGAAAGAAAGTGCTAGTACATTGTGTGCTGTCTGGTTGAACTCTCATCTTTACCAGCAAACTGTCCTGTACATGCCTTGATCACCGTGTAGATGCTTGTTTTCGTTATCTCTCTGGTCCTCCCATTCCACAATACGGGCGCGCGAATTGTTTGAATCGCAGAAACAGAACGAGACTGTTCCCTGTGTATACCCAATGTATACGTCCACGGTCTACAAAACTAGTTGAAAAAACACCGCAGCAACAACAACGGTGGAAAGAACGACGATGGAGAGGGTGACACTACCAAGAAAAATCGCTAGCTTCTGAGCCGGCTGAGCAGTGACCCCTGAAAAAAGGACGAATCGGTCTTGAAACCTCGGGTTAGTTTTCAGTCTACGTTTTATCTTTGGACTATGACTTCGCTGGAGAGTTTATGTTATTAGCGTGAAAGTTCACCCAGCCATCTGTCGAAGGTGTTGACCTATAAGCAGCATGTAATAGTACGTACTTGTCCGTACGAATTGGAAGCAACGGATGCAGTCGTTTGCTAACGTTAAATGTTGCGAATAAGAAGTCTCAACACGGCGCATTATGGCACTGGCCGGCTATTTCACAGCGATGAGAGAGTTCACAAAACAAGAAGCACAAACCACTTTGCTACCGAAGTGTCCTCCACATGTTTGTGTACTCGGAAGACCGACGCGAAACCAATTGCAAACACCTCTCAGCACACGAAATCCTCGATGACGACGTATCTGACCCAAAACGTGCTTTTCGTCGACTTTCGTATATTCCACAGAGGAAAGAATATTCACATCCAACGCTTTTTCAGACACTTCATGCCACCTCTTCAGTCATGATCGCAGTGTTTTCACCTCGCCCTGGCTTGTCTCGACGGCTCTGTCTCGACGGCTCTGTCTCGACTCAAAACGAACAGCGAAGGGTTCACACTGGTTCCTGTGTTCTAGCACCCATATTTTTCGTAGCATCTGCTGCTTACCGTACCCGATGACTTGATTTTCTAAATGTAGCACCCGTTAGATCAATTAAGAATTGTTTCTGTTTTCTTTCGTTTGTTGTTTGCTTTTCTGCGGAACATGCTTTTTTGAATGAGCTAGATGGTTACCAGCGCACTCTCGGTTCTAAGCAATTGGGAAAAAAAATTGCGTGAACATCATCACCGTCAGCCTGACTATGCCCTCTGCAGGGTAAAGGCCTCTCGCATGATCCGCCAATCAACCCGGTCTTGTGCTTTCTGCTGCCACGTTGTACCTGCGAACATTTCAATCTCATCAGCCCACGTAACTTTCTGTCTCCCCTTCGTGTGCTTGCCTTCCCTGGGAATCTAGTCAGTTACCCTCAATGACCAGTGGTTATCCTGCCTTTGTGTTACATGCCCGGCCCATGTCCATTTTTTCTTCTCGATTTCAACTAGGATATCCTTGACCCCGGTTTGTTCCCTCATCCACTCTACACTCTTCTTGTCTCTTAACTACCATTTTCATCGCTTGCTGCGTCGTCCTCAGTTTAAGCTTAAGCCTCTTTGTAAATCTCCAGGTTTCTGCTGCATAGGTAACTACCGGCAAAATGCTGCTGTTATATACCTTTCTCTTGAGGATTAGTGGCAGATAATCATTTAACATTATTTAAAATTTAACATGTATTTTTTAAAATTGTATTCTTGAAGGTCTGAACATTTGTATTTACACCTGCTATGTCTCGAAAACTGAAAAAGCAGTGTTAATAAATAAATAACATTAAGATATGGTGCTGTCACTTCAAGTGTTTCTTTTCGGGGAAAAAAATTTTTTTTTTCAAAGTTCAGAGAACAAGCTGCTATTACCATCAAATCTTAATTGTGATTGTACCCCCCCCCCCCCCCCCCCATCCTACCCGCGTTGTGCCGCCACAGATCCGATGGACCCCACGCCGTAGACACGCCGCCTCTGCCAATTTAGGTACCGGCGCACAGGTCTGCTACTGCATATGCATTTAGATACCAAGCTAAAGCCGCCGCACCGTCTTGCAAAGTAATTAAAAAGAAGAACATTGTCACATAAAAAAATTTAATGTATTCCTTATGTCACATAAGAGAATTGATTGAAAAAGGCATGTGTTTTAAAGGGGTCCTGCAACACCTTTTGAGCATGGTCAGAAAACGCTGCTGACTGGTAGTAGAGGTTCCCGACAACACGCGAGCCAAATATTATAGCACAGCACTTAGCCTGGAATTCACAATAAATTATCAAAGTCAGCTACAAATTGCTTTCTCTTCTCTCGACAAATCATGGAATATGCCCAAGAATCACACGTAGCAAGCCCATCTGTCAGCCAATGGCTGATTTGAACATGGCGCGCTCGCTCGTTACAGAGATCGCCGCGGGAGGCCGCTACTTGTCCATGCGTGCGCATGTGATCACACTGAGAAAGCCGCATATTCGAAGAAAAAGAAAGTGCTTTACGTCACGAGGCGCGCATGACGTGCTTTCTTCGCCTATGCCATACCATCCTGCTTAGCTTCCAGCGCTTTCGTCAGGATGAGAGAAGACAGAATGCGATTGCAGCATGTGAGAAATTTTTGTAACTCTGCTCGTACTGAATGGATTCTTAAAATTTTTGCGGTGTTGCTTGAATTCGTGAGGCAATAAGCTCTTTTAATGAATCCATTCTATGGTTACTTGAAGAAGTGTTTCAGGGCTTTTCTAGTTATAGTTCTAGTTCTAGTTTTAACTTTTCTAGTTATAGTGGCTGCTCGCCTCTGGTGAGTCCTTTATCTCCTTCATTCTGAATCTTGCAGGATCGAAGGGAAAAGGACCGAAGACCTGGTCGGAGTTATGATAGAGAAAAGTGAGTATTTTTGCAAGGGTAAATGCTGTTTATTTCAAGTTGTAGAATTCTGTAGGTCTATTCATTGAGAGAGAGGGGGAAAAGTGTAGCAGCATCAGTTCACAGCAAGCCTTACCTTCTTTTTGACTTGTGCTAGCCAGTACAGTGATGCTTGAATATGGGGCTGTTGCATACTGTATAGAAATTCAGTGGGGTTGTGCGACTATTGCTACTGTAATGAATCTGAATAACGGACGCTTTGCTGGTAATGAAGAAAACGAGGATGATCGGTGGCTGCAGTAGTAGCTCGCGCACGCCGCTCGCCATTAGCCAGACCTGCCTGATAAAGCTCATTTTGCCAAGCTGCGTCTGAACCTTTCTCGACGTACAACACCTCTATTTTAAATGGTGGAGGTGCCGAGGTTCCCATCAACCTGAAACTTCGCAATCGGACGCTACCCTTACCGTTCACCATGACTGCTCCTAGCCCTTCTCAAGCTGCCTTACCAACGACAGTCTACTGTACTGGCGTGCCTCGGCAACGCGACCCACCAATTTTTCGCGGCAACGACGAACATGACATCGAGGACTGGCTCGTCGAGTACGAAATCGTAAGCGCTTCCAACAAGTGGAACGCCTGCGACCAGCTCACAAACGTGCGCTTTTACCTCGCTGATGTGGCCAGCCTCTGGTTGAAGAACCACGAAGGCGAAATCACCAACTGGTCCGCCTTCAAGACTACCATCGCCGCAGTCTTCGGTCGTCCCGCCGTGCGCCGGCTTCGCGCGGAACAGCGTCCCCGTAGTCGAGTCCAGCGCAGGGATGAGACCTTTACAAGTTACATTGAAGATGTCTTGTCTCTTTGCAAGCGCGTCGATGAATCTCTAACTGAACGCGACAAAATCAAGCACATCATCAAAGGAGTTGACGACAATACCTTCCAGATGCTCGTCGCTAGGAATCCACAGACCGTCACCGATGTTGTCCAGCTCTGTCAGGAGTACGACGAGTTGCGTAAGCAGCGTGTCTCGACGTGCAGGGCCGCTGAAGATACGGCTGAAGTTTCCGCCCTCATGCACGACGTCGCTGCTGATCACACGGTCTTACTGCCCCACATCAAACAATTAATTCATTCGTGAAGAAGTTGCGCGTCAGCTTTCTCTTGTGACCGAAGCATCCGCGCCAGTGACCTCGTTAGACCCACGTCTACGCCAGATCATTGAGACACAGGTCACGCAGGCACTGCCTCCATCGCCATCTGTCCCTATGTCGCTGACCTACGCTGCCGTCGTTGCTAGACCCCCAGCCCCACCTGTCTCTGGCGCATACCGGGGCACCGGGTCCTCCTACCCTACGATGCTGCCTACATAAACGGCACCCCATCCCGTTTCGCCCCCTGCACCTTCTGTTGTTAACCCATGGCACACCTTGGATAATCGACCCATCTGTTTCGTATGCGGTTTCGTGGGACATATAGCACGCTACTGTCGCCGTCGCAACTTCCAGCCTCCAGACCATGGGAATTCTGCAAATTACCAGGCTGCCCAGAATCCCCAGCGACCATCTTCTCCTATCACCGACTCATTGTCCCCACGACGCCCTGTCGATTTTCGCCGGTCATCACCACCCCGTCGCCGATCTGTCTCCCCGATGCTTCGGCGCACGAGCCCCGCTCGAGAGGAAAACTGACAGCCGCAGTTCCTGAGGCAAGAACTGCGTCGTCGTCGAACTTTCTAAGACCTCTTCTTTGTCCGACCAACGAAATTGATGTGTCAATAGAAGGTGTTGCTGTACGTGCACTTGTCGACACAGGCGCCGTCGTTTCTGTAATTAGTGAAAAACTGTGTCGCGACTTGAGAAAAGTTACAACGCCTCTTACGAATCTTGCTCTGCATACAGCCACCTCTCATTTCATCGCGCCGACAGCTCAGTGCACAGCACGCGTTCTTATTCAAGATGTTTGGTACGCCGTCAACTTTGTTGTTCTCCCACGTTCATCTTACGACGTCATACTAGGATGGGATTTCCTTTCTACCCATCAGGCCCTCGTCGACTGCGCTCGTGCTGAACTCCTGTTGACGAATCCGTGCCTTGATATCGACCACCAGAGTCCCTCGAAAGTGTTTGCCGCAGCTGCCGTTGTCCGCCATCCTAGTGCCTGTGTTTTCCCCTGCTGCCACCAACTCGATGCTCCTGTTTCAGCCAACTATAGCTAGTGTGCAACACCGAACCATCGTCCTCCCATTTGCCGTCATCAACTTTTCCAATGGTTCAGCGGTACTTTATGCGTGCAACGTTTCTGCTTGTCCATACATCCTGCTACGCGGCGAGTGTCTGGGAAGCCTCGAGACCTTAAATTGTATTTTCGAAGACCCGATCTATCCAGGCAAGCCATTTTTACCGACTTGTGCCATTACACCCGCAACTGACGCTAATCAACCTATGGATGTATTCCGTAAGTCCATTGATTGTAACTTCACGCCTGGGCAGCAGGAACAGCTGATCAAGCTTCTACAGCGTTTTCGAGCCTCGTTTCACCACAATCAGCCTTCCTTAGGTCGAGCGTCATCTGTTGTTCACCGTATAGATACCGGTCAAGAGACGCCAATACGGCAGCGTCCATATCGTGTGTCGACTACCGAATGCCGTGCCATCAATGAACAGGTTGACGACATGCTGACACGTGGCATAATCGAACCGTCAAGCAGTCCCTGGGCCTCTCCAGTTGTGTTGGTGAAGAAGAAGGACGGATCCATCAGGTTTTGCGTGGACTACCGGCGTCTCAACCGAATCACGCGCAAGGATGTCTATCCGCTGCCACGCATTGACGATGCCTTGGACTGCCTACAGAGAGCCGAATTTTTCTCTTCTTTAGATCTGCGCTCTGGATACTGGCAGGTACCCATGGCAGAGGCTGATCGTGAAAAAACTGCTTTCATCACGCCCGACGGGCTTTACGAATTCACGGTCATGCCCTTCGGCCTCTGCAATGCGCCAGCTACTTTCGAGCGGATGATGGACTCTATCCTTCGAGGCTTCAAATGGAACGTTTGCCTTTGTTATTTAGATGACATTGTCGTCTTTTCAACTGATTTCGCAACCCATTTAACCCGCCTCGAGAAAGTCCTCGCGTGTATTTCTGCCGCGGGGCTGCAACTGAATCTGAAGAAGTGCCATTTCGCCGCTCGAAAGTTTACGATCCTCGGCCACGTGGTTTTAAAAGACGGCATTCTTCCTGACCCTGCCAAACTTACAGCCGTTTCAGCGTTTCCCAAACCAACCACAATGAAAGAGTTCCGAAGCTTCATAGGCCTTTGCTCTTACTTCCGGCGCTTCGTCCGCGATTTCGCGACGATCATCGCTCCTTTGACCAAGCTCCTCGCCGGCTCTAGAGACCTCTCAGCCTGGTCTGCCACCTGTGACGATTCTTTCAATGAACTGCGCCGCCACCTCACGTCGCCGCCTCTTCTGCGACACTACGACCCATCGGCACCCACAGAGATCCACACCGATGCTAGTGGTGTCGGGCTAGGCGCTATTCTTGCACAGAAGAAAGACGGCTTCCAAGAGTACGTGGTTGCCTACGCAAGCCGAACTCTTAGCAAAGCCGAAACCAACTATTCTGTCACTGAAAAGGAATGCCTCGCCATTATTTGGGCGATAGAGAAATTTCGACCTTACGTGTACGGGCGCCCTTTTGACGTCGTGACTGACCAACACGCCCTCTGCTGGTTGTCGTCACTGAAGGATCCAAGCGGTCGCCTCGCCCGATGGGCATTACGCCTCCAAGAATATAATATTTGCGTGGTCTATCGCTCCGGCCGGAAACATTCGGATGCAGACGCCCTATCCCGTTCGCCTCTACCACCTGACCCAGACTGCTGCGAAAGTCTAACCTGTGATGCCACTGCCATCACCATCGCCGACATGCCATCTGAGCAACGCAAGGACCCTTGGGTTGCTTTGATTCTAGACTTCTTGGCTGGGCGGACGGCTTCCCCCCTTTCTCGCACGTTGCGTCGGCAAGTCAAGCACTTCGCCACTCGCGACGACGTGCTGTACCGACGCAACTACGCACCCGGTGGACGTCAGTGGCTACTCGTGATTCCACGTCATCTGCGATCCGAAATTTGTTCCACGTTTCATGACGACCCCCAATGTGGCCACGCAGGTTTCCTGAAGACTTATTCTCGCATACGTCTCCGATATTACTGGCGTGGCATGTACCGTTTTATACGACAATACGTTCGGGCCTGCTCGACGTGCCAGAGACGAAAAGCTCCCCCTTGTCACGCCAGTGGTACCTTGCTACCCTTACCATGCCCATCCCGACCATTCGACCGCGTCGGCATCGATATCTATGGTCCCCTTCCCAACACCGCTGACGGTAACCGCTGGATCATAGTTGCCGTCGACCATCTCACGCGGTATGCCGAAACTTCATCTCTTCCCTCGTCTACAGCAAAAGACGTTGCGACTTTCGTTCTTCGCAACATTGTATTACGTCATGGAGCACCTCGGGAGTTACTGAGTGATCGTGGTCGCGTATTCTTGTCAGACGTCATCACAGCATTGCTGCATGAGTGCCACGTCATTCACCGCACTACAAGCGCCTATCATCCCCAGACCAATGGAATGACGGAGCGCTTCAACCGCACCCTTGGTGACATGCTGTCTATGTATGTCTCGTCAGACCACTCCAATTGGGACCAAGTGCTCCCGTTTATCACGTTCGCTTATAATACCGCCATTCAAAGCACTACTAGGTTCTCTCCTTTTTTCCTCCCTTACGGACACGAACCTTCTTGCACTACGGACACGATTCTTTCGTACAAGCCTGACTCCTCAGAGTCCACGACTTTGTCTCAAGCCGCTACATACGCTGAATAATGCCGCCAACTGGCAAGATCATTCACAACCCAAGACCAAGGACGCCAAAAGCACCACCATGATGCATCAAATAACACTACTTCCTACGATCCAGGTTCACTCGTTTGGCTGCATGTCCCTTCTGCTACACC